CTGACTGGTACGTCAGCCCCTCGTTCCACGTCAGCTTGCTTCGCCCCTACGTCCCATCCACAAGCCAACTCCCACGCAATCGCCCAGCCAGCATGGCACGACCGCCAACCGAACCAATCATCGCCCCCGACAAAATCCTGAGCCACAGAGTTCGTGACCCTCGAGGAGCCCGAAAGATCGAGTTCCTGATCCGCTGGAAAGACCGTACACTCACCGAAGACAATTGGGTTCCCCTGGACAGAATCGAAAACCACCCTGTTCTCACCGAATATCTGCGCAGCCGAAACTTCAGGGACGTCCACGCACTTTCGTAAGGAAGACCTTGTTAGGAGCAGGGCCCGTGCTAGGTTTTGGGGCACCCTGAGTCCTCAGGGCACTTTTCTAGAATCCAAAAAAATGCCCTGATTTCTCAGGGCAAATCTTCTGAGCCTTCCTGATTGGTCAGGGCTTTTGCAGAAAATAATCCTGACGTGTCAGGGCAAAATTAGTAGCGTTAAGGGTTCTGATTTTAGCACAAACAGACCAGACCAGACTCTGTTTTGTTTAGCATAGCAGAGCAGCCGCAGCGCTGCAGCGCACATACAGTTGGTGTTTTACTAGGCAATTAACTCCTGCTCCACCTCTCCTAGCCCTCCTCCTCCTCATCATCATCTTCGCTGCTGCTACTAAACCCACTGTCGCTGCTGCTGCCACTGCCATGTTCAGTATCTGCTTCTTGTCCGTCCTCCCCCCCGTTCCCCTTCCCTGCCTTCCTCTGCTGCTCCCTTCTCTTAGTAGGCCTCCTCTTCTTGCTGCTGCGCCACAAATCCACCACTTTACCCCATGCCATGTCATACTCAGTTAGGCTCAGGCACATCAAGTTACTGAGCCTGGCATCACAGAGGCTAGTCCTCTGCCAGGACTTAATCACGTTCTGGCGGCTAAAGCCGCGCTCACACTCGACGGTGCTGAGCGGCAGGACAGCCACCGCCGTCCAGAGGCGGACGAGGTTGGGGTAGCTCCGCTCCCAGTCCTTCGTTCTCAGCATGGCCGCCAGTCCGCGTTGAAATGTGCGCTCGCCTTTGGGAGCGCCAGCCAGAACAGGGACAAATGTCCTCAGTTCCTTCTTGGCAGCTCGCTTGTCCACTCCTGCCATGCCAAGCATAACACAACACACATAATAGTGACAGAGCAGGGGCAGAATAAGTCAGAGAGGTGGAAATGTACATAGCAGGGAGAGAACTTGGCAGATTGTGGGAGACTGTGGGGTAGGAGAACAGTAGTGCAGATCGGGCAGGAGCAGTACAACAGGTAGGAGCAGAACACAAATGCTTACCTGGGAGAATGTTTGATCGCTCGCGGGCATGGAACAGGGCGACGAGGGTCTCCAAGTGCTCGCGGCACTCCTCAGCGCGTGCCTCCTTGTCTTCGGGGTACGTGTCTGGCATAAACAGCCGGACACCGTTCAGGCTGTCGAGATCCCCCAGCCTCTTTTGGAGGTGGGTGAGCGTCGAATTGGCGTGGCGGCGGCAGACGTCGAGGCACGTCTGCAAGTCGTCAGCTGTCTTGCTGTAGCCCGTCAATTCCTCCTCGTGCAGCTCAAAACTATGTTTCCGCTTCTCCCCCTCCTTGTCCACGCCTGCCACAGTGACTTTCGGAGACTTACTAAGCCTGGCTAGGAAGGCCCCGAGGTGTAGCTGTGGGCCGCCACCGAAGTCATCGCCGCACTCGATGTAGCGCGTTCGGATGGTTATCAGTGTGCGGCGCACGGTCGACTGCACCGATGTCATGTCGACCTGCCACATAACAAGGTGCAGATTTAACAAGGACCGTCCAACCAGCACAGACTAGGGTCTCGGGCTTATAGTAGGGTACTCACCTCCCGCCTCTGAAACTCAAGGTTGAGGGTGTTGAGGAGGTTGAGCATGTCGGCGAGGTAGTAAAGGTACACATTGAACTTCACTGAAGTCACAATGTGGTACCACTCGTCGTCCCACTCCCACAGGAGCACGATGACGGCAGGGAGAACACGCACCAAGCGCGTGATGGCATCGCCGCGGCTCAGCCAACGAACTGAGTGAATTCCTTGCAGTTCAAGGTTAGTCTTGCAGAACACCTCCTGCAGCTCCTGGAACTCATTGTGGGAAGGATGCGACCTTCCCAGGTACTCCGCGAGTTCCTTCAGGACATAGTCGATCAGGCCCAGCTCAGGGACTGCAGTGGCGGCGTCCTTGGCTGCGCCAGCCTTCTACTATCTGCACAACGTGATGGGTAGGTAGAAACAGCACACGCTGGCAATCAGTAGTATTACACACCGATGCGCAACACAATGGCTGGAGAAGAGGTGCGGGACCCTTACACGCAGCCGAGCCACCAGGCCGTTTGTGCTACCCATCATCGCACCTGCGCCATCCGTGCTAATCCCGGCCACCCTGCTCGTGTCAATTCCAAGAGAGTCAAGTAGGGTCAGCAGCAGGGAAAGAAGCGAAGCGCCATCGGCTTTCTCCACCGTCAAAAGACCAATGAACTCAGTGACTGGCCGAGAGTCACGGAGAAACGTGGCAAACACGATCTGGTGTTTGCCATGCACCCGATCTGTACTCTCGTCACAGGTAACTACGATGAATGGACTAGACTGCAACCAGACTTGCTGACGAGCACGGATATATGCTGTAGTGCTTGCGATGAGCTCTGCAAACCCGTATCTGCATCAAACGGGAAAAAGGTACATAGGGTTAGCAACATAGAACAGGTTGTGCACAACCTCCGTACAACGGTTCTCGGGTTTAGCAGCATGTGCAGAGCAACAGCTCACCTTGTGTAGTAAGCACCGTAGCCATTCTTCGGGAAGCCTGGTGTCTGTCGCTCTGCAAGGTGCCGCACGAATTGAACCCACATTTTGATCGGTGCGTCACATTTGCAGACGAACAGCAGGGTCTCCAGCAGAGCGATGACCCTTACGCGCTGGATGTTTCCGGCCTTTGGACAGTCGACGATACACTGCTGCTTCTTCACCGCCTGCTCCGCCTGGGCCTGACGCTTGACGGACCGTTTGTGCTTCCTGGAGCTTTGATGCGTGCGGAACGCCTGGGTTTGGACGTTGACAGCTCCTTCGCCAGCAGCGCCGTAGTTTGTGCCGTGTCCTGCGTGCTTGATACACAAGCTGCACCTCACTGATGGGAAACCGAATGAAGTTTGACAAAGCACGAGCCACGGGAAATCACTTGACCATTCCCGTTTGTACTTCGTAAGCGCCTCCTGGTATTTATCCTCTGCCTCATCGCGAAGTTCCTCTGTAGCTGAAGATGCTGCAGGAACGGCCGATGGTCCTGGAAGAGCTGGCTCTAAGCGGATACGTACGGTGGGTTCCGTAGGACTTTCGTGAGAGAACGACAAGCGCGACTGTTTGTGCTTGGTCGCTCTTAATTTAGCAGTAGCGGCAGGGCCCATGCGTGTCGCACCAGGTGGTACAACGCTGGGGCCGTTCGTATAGCACGGTCGGTTGTGACTGCGGGAGTTCGAGATGATATAGCTGCAGGTGAGGGTGTTGGTAATGTGGACACAGTCCGAACAGGACGCAGGAAGTCCAATCCGGTTAGACCTCGTGATACTGGCGTCGCGCCATCGTGCTCGTTAGCCATCACTAGTCCTACTGAGCCAGGCTAGCTTCTCTTCAGCTACTCTAGTGGCAACGCTGGTAGGGTGTTGGTTGGATGGATCATGGAGGAGTGCTCAACGAGGTCGAGAGAGAGACACACGAGGAGTTGCCTTGTTGCCCAACCTGTTTCCAGTCTGATGGGTTAGGGCTTGGCTAGTGCCTTGTGGGGTATCGGAACTGAACGCTCAAAGACATCATGCGAAGGCGGGAAACATACACGGGGAGAAAATTCAATGGAGAAAAAACTCCCCGTACCGCGCCAGCCCCCCCCCCCCCCCCCCCCCCCCCCCCCCCCCCCCCCAAAAAAAAAACGCGTCAGGGTAGGCCTCGGTATTCATCCTGACGTTACAGGGGGAAACACTACGGCCATCCTGAATGTACAGGGCACTTCATATAAAGACATCCTGTGATCTCAGGGTGAAAATTGTCATTATTCTGAAATAGCAGGGTAAATACAAAACTGCATCCTGAATTCAGGGTAATCAGGATGTTTTGCCCTGATAACGTGGGCCCTGGTTAGGAGGGGGGGTAGTGTAAGGAAAATCATTTTTCCTTACTTCGCATCCCTGCTCAACGCGTACATCACTATAGCACCACAGTCAACACCGTTACCACTCGCGACCCTCGCATCGACAATCAGCCCGCCATTTTCGCACATCGCACCCCAACCTCACGGCTCGGCTGGTAACCCGCGCTCCGGGCCTCCGCTTCGACACTTTCCCAAACCTCAGTCCCAGGCCCGTCAAGCGACAACCACAGTCCATTACCGTTACCACTGTAGTTTCGCCATATATTCTTCGCTCATGCCTTCGCTCATTGTATTTTTGCTTCGGTAGTGCAATTCTCGTTCACTTACTCAATTGCACTCGTAACACATAACGAGCGATTCTGTCTACTGTAAGTGGGGAGGAAATTACTGTTTTTCCAAGATGCATTAAATACTCTTTTCTGTGATCCGAACTCTCAGGGTGACCGATATTCTCGACTTTGAAGCTCCATCGTTTCGCCAAACTGTGCTCTCTCAATGTGCCTGCCTATATTTAGTTCTTAATATATGGTATTGTTTTTCCACCTTTGGTGTATTGCCAATCCATTTAGTCACCATCAGTTATTCGTTAATTTCACTCACTCTATTTGATAACCCATAATATTTGGAGGAATGTCAGGAATAGAGTTGCAAGTTCTCCAAATTGTATGTAATTATCTCAAGATTGTATATAAATTGGTCTTTTCTAGAAGAAGGATGTTACAAAGGGTCGAGCATTGCGTTTGCAAGCAGCCTGCTTGTTGATGGAGCTTTTCCTGACCTAACGAAGAGGTTCCACTAAGTGACTGTTCGTTCCAGGAAGGTGCCACACTAACCATGGATCCGAATCTTTGGCCGTCGTACGTGCAAGGTGCTCCTCCTCTTTACCCTCCGATGCATCTCGTCGCGCCCTCCGCCCATGCTTGGCCGCCGCCACCCTCAGATCCCTCCTCCGCCGCGGCCCTTCTCCCCCGGCCTGATTACGCCTCCTATTCCGCTCACTCCGCCGTCTCCGCGTCGTCACGCTGTCCGGTCTGCGCCCAGCTGCACGCGCCGTTCTGCTCCGCCGAATCCGCCGCCTCCACTCCCGTGCTGCCAGTTGCGCCCGCAACTAACCTCTGGGATGCGACCACTACTGCCGCTGGCGCGTGGCCGGGCGCAGCAGAGGCTTCTTGGCAGCAGCAGGCGCAGGCGCAGGCGCAGGCGCAAGCGCAAGCGCAAGCGGCGCAACAGTACTGGGCGTCGGGAGATGGCGTGCCCGGGTTTGAGGGCGCGGGCAGTGTGTCTGGACCTGGTCACTGGCATGCGCCTAACTACCATCTCCCTCCCCCCGCCTTTCCTTCCAACTCCCCCCCTCCCTCTCTTCCTCCCCTTCCCCCGTCGCAACCCCCCCCTCCGTCTCATCCTCCCCTCCCCCCATCGCAACCCCCCCCTCCCTCTCATCCTCCCCTCCCCCCATCACAACCCCCTCCCTCTCATCCTCCGCTCCCCCCTTCACAACCCCTCCCTCCCTCTCAACCTCCCCTTCCCCCTCATCCTCCCCCTCCGTCCAACCCCCCGCCTCCCTCAAATCCTCCCCCGCCACTTCCGCCGTCAGCTCCGCTGTACGCGGAAGCGCAGCAGCCGTCCGCCAATGGGTATGCGGCGGAGGCTCAAGGCGGAGGGCCGGCGATGGTTGCGGCGGGTGATGCGGCGCATCAGGCGGCGTGGAGCTGGCAGCAGGCGCCGCCCTTGCCGCCGCACATGCAGCAGCAGGAGGCGCAGGAGGCGATTGAGCCACGGTACTTTCAAGAACAGCATGCCGGTCCGTACGTGCCGTACCCTGAGGCGCATGCGGAGAGCCTTCCGCCGCAGCACGAGAGACAGCCGCTTTACCCTGCAGAGGCGCCGGGTGGCGGGGAGAGGCGGGAGCGCGAACGCTGGGAGGAAGCGCAGCGCCAGCAGCAGCAGCACCAGTTCCAGCAGCAGCAACACCAGCACCAGCAGTACATGCAGCAGCACCAGCAGCAGCAGCAGCAGCAGCAGCAGCATCAGCAACAGCAGCAGCAGCATCAGCAACAGCAGCAACAGCGTCAGCAACAGCAGCAGCAGCATCAGCAACAGCAGCAGCAGCATCAGCAACAGCAGCAGCAGCATCAGCAGCAACAGCATCAGCAACAGCAGCAGCAGCAGCAGCAGCAGCAGCAGCATCAGCAACAGCAACAGCAGCAGCAGCAGCAGCAGCATCAGCAGCAGCATCAGCAGCAGCAGCAACAGCAACAGCAGCATCAGCAGCAGCAGCAGCAGCAGCAGCAGCAGCAGCAGCAGCAGCAGCAGCAGCAGCAGCAGCAGCAGCAGCAGCAGCAGCAGCAGCAGCAGCAGCAGCAGCAGCAGCAGCAGCAGCAGCAGCAGCAGCAGCAGCAGCAGCAGCAGCAGCAGCAGCAGCAGCAGCAGCAGCAGCAGCAGCAGCAGCAGCAGCAGCAGCAACAGCGGCAGCAGCAGCAGCGGCGGGGGGATGAGACTAGGGCGCTGGAGAGAGGCAAGGGGCGAGAGTACAGGGGGCACAGGGAGGGACGAGGGCGAGACGGGGAGAGGGAGCGGGATCGGGAGAGGGAACGGGCGCGGCTGTCCCCCCCATCGAGAGGGCAGGGGGGCAGCAGTGCGAGGGGCGCAGCCCCCCCTGCAGCAGCGCCAACCATGTCGCCCGTGGTGGACGCTTCCTGTATCTTCAGGGAACCTGGACGCCTCAGACGGCCGGCAAGATTTGTCATTATCCTCCGTGGCTTGCCAGGTTCGTTCGTTTTATCGTGGATACAGGATGGCATGCTATGCTGCAATCTCCCACATTTATCGCACCCTTCCGTCTTTCACCTTTCCAAGCTCCCGTGCGTGTGGTTGTGCTGCGCCTCTGTCTTCGCCTGCCCGCCCCTGTGCCCTTGTGTGTGTGCGGCCTGGCAGGCAGTGGCAAGAGCCACTTGGCGCGCGCGCTGAGGGACGTGGAGGTGACGAACGGGGGGGCGGCGCCCAGGGTGTTTGCCCTGGATGACTACTTCATGCTGCACGATGATGATGACGATGAGGATGAGCACGTACGTATGCCATGCATGGGATGGGGACAAAGGGGGCAAGTGGGGCAAGGGAGGCGCGGAGTAGTGCCACGTGCAAGGAGCAGTGCGTGAGGGTGACTGGCACGTCCTCCGTGTGCGTACTTGTGTCTCCTCGCCGCGTCTGCTCACAGGAGTGCAGTGCAGGCGTATGCGATTTGTATGCTCTATGCTTTGCTCCCAATCGCCGTGTATCCTTGTCCGCATCCTGTCACGTGTCACGTGTCTCCTTGCCTGTCCCTCCCGTGTGCTCTCCCACGTGCAACGTGGCACAGGAGAGGGCAGCAGCGGCGCGCAGGCGGAGGGGAGGAGGCAAGGGCGGAGGGGAAGCTGCCAAGGGAGGGGGTGAGGCGCGGTACAAGTATGATGCGACACAGGAGGAGGTGCGATGGACAGGGGAACCAGTCAGCATGGGTCGTGTGGGATGGGGTATGGCCATGGTGCTTGGGGCATGTGTTTTGGGGGCCATGGCTTATGGGGCATGGGACATGGGGCACAGGGCATGGGGCACAGGGCATGGCATCTGTGCCATCTTCTTTATCTGTTGTTCCCACCCCCCACTGTGTTACACGCGTTGAGTGCTGCTCGCCATTTTCAGCCGCCTCTCACTATCCTACCTACCCTCCCATCCCCTGTACACCACATGTGTGCGTGTATGTGCACATCTGCATGTGTGTGTATGCATATGCACGCCCATGTATGCGGTGTGATTGTGCGCATGTATGTGTTTTTGTGCATGCATGTGGTTTTGTACATGCATGTGTTTTTGTGCATGCATGTGTTTTGTGCATGCATGTGTTATTGCGCTTGCATGTGTGTGAACCACATGCAGCTGTACCGGGCCAGCATGCTGAGAGCGTACCGCAAGGCATTGGAAGAGGGGCGCTTCTCCTTCATCATCGGTGCCCCCTTCACCCTTCTTCTTCCACCCTCCATGCCTACTCTTCCATACCTTTCTTCCCCAACTCCCCACCCCTTTTCCCTTTGCACGATTTGTACTTGGCCCGCCACCATTCTCCTCCCCTCCCTTCCCCCTCTCCTTCTCCTCCTCTCATTTCTCTCAGCCAGTCACTCACCTTTCCTCGTCCAGTCGCCCTCCTGGTCTCACCACGTCATCCCATGGACTTGTTTGTTCCATAAGGCATGCGTTTCCTCCTGCACTCTCCTCACACCCTCGCCTCGTCCCACCTCCCTCTAGGAGCTTGTACCGTGTGTCATGCTTCTCAACGCTCATGCCCATGCGCACCACTGTTCACATTCTCACGTTTGAACTTTCCCCTAGCACCATGCCCACAGCGTGTCGCCTTGCTCAAGCCAGGCGTTGATGTGCGGTGGACTGTGTTGTGCTTCACATGCCCTCGTGTGCAACAAGCGAGCGGCAGTGATTGAGAATGCATGCATGTGCTGTGACTGCTACATCTTAGTCCCCTTACCAACGCATCTCATGCCACCACAATTTGCCACGTCACACCATGTGCACATAACATCCCATAACATCACGCCACATGGCGCCATACCATGCCACATGATGCCGTCGCCCGGCTATTCAGTGGAGGACCGCAACGTGCGTGTGTCGCAATTCGAGCCCTTTTGGAAAGCTGGCAAGGTAGCTTTTCCCTCCCCCCATGCCATGCTGCGCCATCTAGTCTCCCTCATACCATGCCATGCCATGTCATCTGGTCTGGTCTCCCCCTTACCATGCCATACCATTGCATCTCTGCAGCAATGCCATGTATGGTATGAAACCCTGTCTTGCCCGCACTATCTGCTATTGCCATGCTACTCTATAACATCAAGCCTACCCTCACATGCCTCTCTTCTCACTGCACCCATCTTGTGACTGCACCCTGCATGTGACTGCACCCTGCATGTGACTGCACCCTGCATGTGACTGCGCCCTGCATGTGACTGCACCCTGCATGTGACTGCACCCTGCATGTGACTGCGCCCTGCATGTGACTGCGCCCTGCATGTGACTGCGCCCTGCATGTGACTGCACCCTGCATGTGACTGCACCTTGCATGTGACTGCGCCCTGCATGTGACTGCGCCCTGCATGTGACTGCGCCCTGCATGTGACTGCACCCTGCATGTGACTGCACCCTGCATGTGACTGCGCCCTGCATGTGACTGCACCCTACATGTGACTGCACCCTACATGTGACTGCACCCTGCATCTACACCCTGCATGTGACTGCACCCTGCATGGGTGACGGTACCTTGCATGCGATTGTGCCCTGCTGCTGGCATGCCATGGTTAAGCTGTGGGTGGTGGGAGCCATCAAGCAGGGGTTGCAAGGCAGTGCAAGAGGACACAGCGCGCCCCACCTGTGCCCTGTGTGCCGTGTGTGCTGTCCCACAGTGTGCGGGCTTTGAGGTGTACGTGGTGCAGCCAGCCGCGTCCACCCACCCCACGGTGCGTGCCATCCGCCTCGCCTTCCTGCACTCTCCCCACCCACCCTGTGCTCCGCATGGCTGCTGTGACGTTCTGCACCTGTCCAACACATTGCATCTCTGTCGCGCCAATTGCATGTCCCCTGATACTTGCACCACTATGTGCGCCAACCCCATGCATGCCTGCAAGATTGCACACAACCAGCGTGCTCTGTGCGTCTCCCCCTGGCAGCTGTGTGCGGGGCGCAACACACACGGCTTCTCACTGCAGCAGGTGCAGGACATGGCAGGGCAGTGGGAGGCGTTGCCACCGCATATGCTACTGCTTGATGTTAAAGTGAGCCTACACTCTTGAATGCACCCCCTGCTTGCCCCACGGCATGTGCGCCTCTGTATGTGCCTTCATGCTGTGTCCCCATGCTTGCGCTCTTGCCTGTGCGCTTAAAGTTTTCATGTTTATAAGAGCCATTGGCCAGTCTTGTTGTGCTTACTAGGCAACACATGTGCCTGGCGTCCGTGCTTCACTGGTTGTGCTGTGTGTGTGTGCATGTGCACGGCAGTCGTTGTTCCATGAAGACACTCTTGACGATGCCTCCATCACAGAGGTAAGCCTTTCCCGTCGCTGCGTATAGCATGACAGCACAGCAGCCCACGTCCCCGTCGCTGTGCTTCTCGCTCTGTCTTCCACCTCTTTGCTGCCCGCTAAAGACCTCCATTCTGCTTATGATCGGCCTCTCTGCACCATGGCATGGCATGGCATGGCATGGCAGGTGGAGATGGATGCGGAGGATGACGAGTTGCACATGGAGCAGGAGGAGGCCGCCACTGCTGCCGCTGAGGAGGAGGAGAAACTCAAGCAGCAGCAGCAGCAGCAGACAGGGCAGGATGGGGCGAAAGGTGCTTCGGGTGGTGCAGGTGGGGAGGGGCAGAGCAGTGCGGAGGGGCGGTGGACAGGTGAAGGGGGTGGCAACGGGGCAGGTGTGAAGAGAAGGCGGGATGCTGGGGCTGCTGATGCTGCTGCTGATGACGATGCTGATGCTGATGGGGATGGGGATAGTGACGAGGGGGACGATGATGATGAGGATGATGATGATGAGGCGGGTGGGGGTGGAGGTGCGTTGGCGGGCCTTCTGGCCGCGTATGGCAGTCAGAAGAAGCACAAGAAACACAAGAAGCAGGGGATTTCACAGGGTGCCACAGCGGGCGGCAGCAAGAATGGGGTGGCAGTGCGCGGCATTCTCAAGGGGTCGAACGGCAGTGGTAAGAAGAAGGCTCTGCGATGGGTGGACAGCCACGACCCCTCCCAGGTATCAATCCGTGCTACCCTGCCCCACCGCTCGCGTCATTGCATGTAGGCTGCATTCGTCCCTCTCCACGCGTCCCATCATGGTATCCACTTGATGCCACCCCATGCACACCCTCCCAAGTGTGCGCCTGCACCACGCCATCAGGATGCGTGCTTCACCATGGGTGCTGCCACGCCCCCCACACGTGCCTCGCTCCTCATTGGCCCTGGTGCCGGCTACTCCCTCGTACGCCCCTGCCTGCACCCTTCACCAAGTTTCCGCTACTGTGCATGTGTCTGCTTGTCTCTCAAATGCCACTGCGCTTCCCATGCTTGTTTTCTTGGCCGTCTTTTGCATTTGGTGCCTGTTCATGTGGCTTCCACAGATCTGAACCATAAGCATCTTAACTTCTCTGTACCATCCACATGCCCATCTCCCTAAGAAAATTACCCACTTCCGCCTTCCATCCTACCCACCCAACCATACCCCCTGGTGTGATGGTGCATGGCAGGCAACGAACCCTGTGCAAGCGGAGGAGGTGGAGGCGGTGAGCGGCGGGGCGAGTGGTGCGGGGGGGGGTTTCCAGATAGTGGCGGACCACGCGGCACAGCAGGTGCTGTGGCGGCAGCAGCTGCGTGCAGAAGGAGAGCAGTTCCGTGCCATCATGCGCTCGCACCGCTCCCAGCGCCATGGTGCTCATGATGATGACTGATGCTCTTCATTCCTCAACCTGTATCTTAACATGAGTGGATGACAGTACCATATAGATGGTAATATTCACAGAATAGCTGGCCATACTGCTCACATGGTCTAATTCAAGCATGAACGCATATCAAGCCGTAAGTGAAACCGCATGTATTCATAGTCTGGATTGCAGTGTGGGTTGACTTGCCAGCCCAGCATCCAGAGGTGCCTCCCCTCTGACCGCCATGCTGCCAGCACTGCCATCGCCCTGCTTGCCTGCATCACCACCCTGGTGAGCTTGCGGGTCTGCCTGCCCCCCTGCGCTCCTCACCGGCGCCCTGCTCTGCCGTTGCGGCCCCACCAGGAACTTGGTGTGGCGCCCCACTGCCAGCAGCACACCGTCGCTGCGCCGGTGGAATAGAGCCTGCAGCACCACAGGGGGGGCAATCATTCCATGGTGAGCGGTGGATGGTGGCACAGGCCTGCAGGACGAAAACCCCTGCACGAAAACACAATGGTGGCAGGGCGGCACGATGGCATGGTGGGATGGATGGTGGTATGGTGGCATGGCGTGGCGTGAGTACCTGCAGGAAGGCAAGGGACTTGCCGACGCGCAGCACAGAGGCATCCACATCCACCACCTCCTGATGGTCGGGGGTGGGGAGACACGAGATAGCGTGGGAGGGGGTATGGGACGCCCGTGCAGATGCAAACACTTGTTTTCGCGAGAGTCTAGAGGGGTTGCAAGTCGCAAGGCCAAATGACACAATACAGCAACGGTGGTGCAGCGCGTGTGTGCAAGCACGGAGGCCTTCCCCGTGACAGGGCAATGGCGGTGTTGGGGCGTGTGCTCACCCCCAGCTTGGCGGCGTCGAGGTACGCCACGCTCAGGTCCGTTGACACGCCCCCTGGCGGCCCCACCGCCGCTATCAGCGCTGCTGACGTCACGACATCTGTGAGCGTGGCAATGGCTCCTCCGTGCAGCGTGTTGTACCGATTCTGGTGGGCCGTGAGAGGGCGACAGCAATCAACAAAAGGTTATTGCTTTGGACAAAGAGAAGAACGTTTCCAGGAGAATCAATGGGCGGAGCGAGACAGGATGAGTACGTGTGTCAGAGAGATAGAGAAGGAGCAAGAGGGAGAGGGGAAGAGAACGTCAGGAAAGTGAGAGAGGGCGAGAGGTAAAAGCGGGGTGGAGAAAGGGGGGGGTCAGTACCACTAGTTCAGGCGTGACAGAGATGGCACACCGGCATCGGCCGTGCGACACGTGGATGTCAACCAGCGACTGCAGGCAGTGCTTCTCCACGCTCTCGCATCCGCGCCCCGTTCCCTCCTCCTCACCGATCGTCGCCTCCCCTCGCGGCACCTCCCCCCCCAAAAGCGCCGCCAGCTCGAGCTGCACCTGCCCTGCGACCGCCGCGCCATGCGACTCTTCCGAAGAGCTTGCGGTGATTGCACTTGAAGAACCCGTGGCGCCATTGACGGATGGTGCGGCGAGCGACGAGACTGTGCGCGCGGCGAGCTGGTGCATGAGAGCGGCGTCCATGGGCGGACAGTAGCTGCGCATCCATAGCTCCGCCAGCGCAACCCAGTCTGCATTCGCCATGTGGAGTTCAGGTAAAATTGTGATATGTCTAATTACCGAATGTTCGTAGTATGGTTCAGGATGTTTTGTAGCTGGGCTGGCTTAGGACCCAAGCAGGCATTGGGATGGCCAAATATATTATGCCAGAAGCACTACCCGTTTACATTCGCAAGTCTCGTCCGTCCCGCACGAGAGTCGCAACCTTGAGGTCCACGACACGACTCGAGGATCGACCCTCGCAAAGGAAAATCGAGAGCCTTGTGAGATCAGGGCTGGGAAGCTGTGCTGGTGTTCTCAGGGACACGAAACAAAAATGCGCTGCCACGTCATCGTCGGTAGGCAACTGCAGGCAGTGATGACGTCATCAACTTTTGACGTTTCCAGGGAGCACTATCGAAGAAACTCTTCACGAGCAATACGCACAATGAGCCCTCGTTTACACAACCTTCTCTTTAATTAAGATAAGATAACAGTATAACTTCGTGAACTATATCCATCCAAAATGAACTCTCTCTTTCAAGTGTCCTAAATCTCCTCTTCCTCACCAAGTGCCAAGGCTGCAAGCGTCTCAAGGCGCTTGTCAAATTCAGCAGCACTGGCGTCCCTCTCCTCTAACTCGGCTCCCTCCAGCTCCAGCCACTTCTCCCGCAAATCGTCCAGCACGTTCATGCTCTCCACCCCGCCCACTCCATCGCCCCCTGCACCCCCTGCTGCTTGCCCCACGGGCGTGGGCACTTGCTCGCCGTGCAATGAGGGTGCAGTGGTGCGCACAGAGTCATTGCCCGAGGGAGGGGGCAGGCGTGCGAGCATGGCACGGAAGGCAGGGCAGGCGGCAAAGGCGTCAAAGTTGGCGGCCATGACGTCCAGCACGTGCTCCCTCAGCTTCCACACTCCGTACCTGCCACATGCCACGCAGCATGCAGTGTTACATGCAGGGGACACAGCCACAAGGGCCGTACAGGGCTAATTATGGAACACACAAGCATGCCCTGTGCTGCCAGAGATTGAGCTGATGCAATGAGCAGCATTGCAAGAGGAAAGGGCAAGCAAGAGATGGCGGTGAGTGGAGGACAGTGCAGGTAACGCTGAGCGCGACACAGGGAGGGAGGGAGGGGGAAGGAAGCATGGGGAAGCAGCGACATACATGTCAGCAGCGAGCAGCCAATGGCAGAGCGAGGGCATGTCAGCAGAGTGCAGGTGCGGGATGAGGGCGTCTGCCACGGCCCGCTTGAGTGGGAAGAGCAGGAAGCGCGCTGCTGCATCGATCACGTCCATGGCCTGCCACAGCACCGGTGCAGGGGGGTGCAGCACAGGGGATGGCAGGTTGCAGGGAGGACACAGGTCGTTGAGGAGGGTGGGCGCCCAGCAAGACAAGCAGGCACACAGAGGGAAGGTGAAAAAAGGTGTGTGCATTAATGATACACGCAAGAGTAAGTGTTGAGAGTAAGAAGGTGGAAGGGGCAGGTAATGGCGGATGGGATCACCTGGCTGACAGCAATGTGGTGGATGCGATCCGTGTAGCTGGGGGCCACACAGAGTGGGGCAGGTGCGGACGAGGGAAGAAGGGAGCAGCGGGGAAAGGGTGAGAAGGACATCTCAAAAACAGGGTAGCGAGTGGGCATCCACGATCACAGGACCGGGCATGTGGCGAATGCAACAACTCGCAACGCAACTCGTGGTGAGGGAAGAATGGGTGGAGGGATGTCAGCAGTGGAGGAGGTGGGCATGATTGCGGCAGAGAAGGTAAAGGCAGCAAGAAACGGAGGGCAGGGCGGGGAGCGGAGCACGCACATGAACTCGAGGATCTTGTGGAAGGCGTAGGGGGTGAGGTCAGGCAGGTGGAAGCACGGCAGCACAGCCCCGCCATCTCCCAGCAGCACTGCTGCCGTCCCACCCCGCTGTCCCTCTGCTGCGGATGAGGAGTGTGGTGGTGAGTGTGCATGCACTGCCTGGCGCACGAAGAGCACTCTGAAGTAGTCACAGCGCGCCGCCATGACCACGCGGTGGCAGCGGAACACACACCCCGCCACGGAGAAGCAGCAGTCTGCGTGATCCGGCTCAGAGGCACTGCCACACGCATGCACCCCCACACCTGCCCCGCCATCCGCACCCTCTCCCCTCCACTCCTCGTCCTCTCCCCTCGCCCACTCGCGGCCCTCATCACCGCTCGACTCAACTGTGCCAAACCGCACCTTCCTTCTCGCCTCACCTTCTGCACCATCCCCGCCCACCAGTCCCCCACCGCCCACCTCTCCCTCCCCCCCATCCGCACATTCCCCCCCAGGTTCCCCATACCCCTCTGCACCCTCCCCATCATCAGTGTCCATGGCCCTCGTGTCAGACCTCACCATGCACCGCGCTAGCAGCCGCTGCATGCCGCCAGCCAGTCTCTCCTCCTCGGGCAGCGATGCCGCCGTCAGGATAAACCGCCGCTGTGCCTCATCCTCCTCCTCCCCCGCCCTCTCTCGCCCTCGCTCGCTGCGCCCATCCTCTTCCTCTCCCTCGGCCGTCCCCTCCCCCTCGCCCGCCCCACCATCCGCATCCCCCCTCCCCTCTCCGGCACCTGCTGCCACCTCCCCGTTCACAAGCTCTCCCTCGCCCGCTCCCCTGGCCCTCGCCGCCCTGCCTCGCCACCTCAGCCCCAGTGCGCGCCTTGGCGGCACCTTGTGCTGTGCCAGCTTGTCGTGCACGCGCTCCCGATCCACAGCCCGCACCAGCCCCGCCCCGCACTTGGCGGCGCGGCATGCGCGCACCAGGTCGGGCAGCCCCGCCACGGGCACGTCCAGGCGGTCCGAGTACACGAACCCCAGCAGCGCCGCCAGCGCGCCATGTGTCAGCCGCGGGTTGGCGAGAAACACCTCGGACCTGTCGCGCCACTTGGAGGCGAAGGCGAGGTCGAAGTAGTCGGAGCGCGCGGCGAGCACGGGCTTGTGCGCGAGCACGACGCGCCCGTCGATGTGGAACGCGATGTCGGGCGCCAACGGGTCGCGCGGGTCTAGCAGTGCCACGGGGACGCACGGGGGGCCGGGAGGGGCGCCGGCGGAAGGGGAGAGGGCGTCGGCTTTGGCGGCGGTGGCGTCGAGGAGGTCTTTGAAGGCCTTGGGCAGCGGGTCCAAGGGCGGCGGGCGCATCTCGTAGCGCTTGAGCAGGCGGCGGATGCGGAGCGTGAGCGCGGCGTAGTGGCACCTGTCCCCGTCGAACGTGTGCTCGCTGCAGATCGCACCCGCCTCCAGCAGCACGCGCGCCGCCTCCAGATGGCCTGGGGAAGCGGGGGGGTGTGCGCGGGGCCCACGGGCGGGGGGTGGGAGCGTTGGGGGGCAAAGAGAGACGAGGAAGGGTGAACCAGGAGAAGGGGACGACGGAGTAGTAAACCCGGAAAGACTGTAAAGGCGCCACTTTTCAGATGGACCCATGAAGCGCCAAGCCAGCCACACAATCGAAGACAGCCTTCTCACGTCCCTTGCCCCCCCCATCAGTCATAAACCCCCCACTCCTCTCCAACCCTGCTCTCTCCGCCCCTCCCGCGCGCGCACCAGCAAGGCAAGCATAATAGAGCGGCACGGAGTCCCATCGGTCGCGCGCGTTCACGTCCACGCCTTCTTCGTGCACCAGCCACGTCAGCCGATCCACATCCCCGGCGCGCGCCGCCTCGTAGACGGTGCCGGTGGGCACCTTCTTGGTGGGCACGGGAGGCGCGTCGCCCTCGTCCTCGTACCCGTAGTCGTAGTCGTCCTCAGGGTCGATCTCGCGCCCCGCGATCTCCACACGCTCGGGCAAGGATGGAGCATCTCGCGCGCTATTGGGCGTCATTCCCTTGACGAGAGATGCGGGACTTTTTAAATTCTGGCAAAAGGCGCGAAGAATTTAGTGAACGGAATTAAGGTGGTTCCGCGCCACTAGAGGTCGCAGAAGTGCGAGGCGAAGCCTCCGCTGGTGGTGTGAGCTGGTCAGAATCTATGGCGTTGATTGCAAATCGACATGGGCGGTGCCGTGCGGTTTGGGCAATTGGAGTGCATTGCAGTGCGGCGCTTGGCTAAAATTTGGCAAAAACTGGTTCCGACGAATTTCTTTAGCATTTTTAGGCGAGGTGAATATTTGTGTATTGATGTAAGTAAGCTGCCACAAAACAGACCTGCCACAAAACGGACCAAAAGCTTCTAAGCTCGTGAGGAGTGTACAGCGGCAACACATTGTAACCTTGCGCAGCGGCGCTTGGCTAAAATTTGGCAAAAACTGGTTCTGACGAATTTCTTTAGCATTTTTAGGCGAGGTGAATATTTGTGTATTGATATAAGTAACCTTCCACAAAACAGACCTGCCACAAAACAGACCAAAAGCTTCTAAGTTCTCCATTATCTCACAAAACAGCAGGAGTGTACAGCGGTAACACACTGTAACCTTGCCTAGGATTGTGAGTTCGTGCGATTATAGGGTGTGCTGGGTGCGAAACGTGTGCGAAGCGAATGGCAACAGCAACCTAATCGCCAATCTCGAGAACCTTGGTAGTGCCGTGCCGCATCGACCTGTCCCTCCCAACGTCTCCTCGAATCTTCACTCCTCACTGGGTTCCGCATTCATGGTTCCCATCTAAAATTAGCTACACGCCTTGCCTATTAGGTGACGTATATGTTGCATCAGAGCAATGAACGGCGATGAGATAGCTCAACCAGATGGACGTCACGATGTGGCCGCGGCCGAGAGCGCCCTGGAGCATCGCGAGTGTGATGCACGGGAGCAGGGCTTAGGCTGGGAGGAAGCCGAGGAGTGCTGCGTGGCAACAGAGGGATCAGAAGGAGTGGTGCGGGACAGGCGGATGGAGGCTGGCAGTGGCGGCACGACGCCGTCAATCTCCATGGGTGATGCCGCCGGGTGCTTCATACCACACACTGATGGCGGCGCTTTTGCTGAGAGTGAAGCTTACCAGGATGGTGACGGCGGTGCAACAGAAGCCGGAAAAGCGAATCGGGAGAATGGCGTGGAAGAGGATCTTACAGCGGGAATCGTGGACTCTATCCGTGGCATCGCCTTCTCGCCTCTTCATCCCGTCCCGTCACCTTCCGCGCGTCACGACAGCCCTGACGGCCTCCGCCTCCCCGCTGCCCCATCACGCCCGGGGGAAGACGCGGAAGCATGCGAGTGGGTTGTGCGCGCGGACGACAGCGGGCTCGCGGTGTCGTCCAGCAACGACGAGGTGACGCGCGCTCCCCGCATCTGCCGCTTGCCCTGCCGTCACTTTGCTCTTTTCAGAGACTAGGTTGAAATTTTCTCCTCCTTACCCTTCACCCCCTCGCCCTGGATTCTCTTCCCCGCAGATGAGTGCGCGCATGGAGCGCGGGGCGGCGCTGCAGGAGCGGTACATGGACATGGCGATGCTGGCGGACATGGAGGAGGTGCTCGTGCTCGATGGGGGGGACGGCGCCGCGCCTCCCGCGCACGCGGGGCGGGGAAGGGGCAGGACGGCACAGAGGCCGTTCAGGGTGGCGGATGGGCGCACTGGGCACGAAGGGGCGGGGGGGGGAGGAGGGGCAGCAGGGGAGGCGGTGCTGGCGGAGGGGGAGCACGTGGCGCGCGTGGACGTGGTGGGGTCGCGGCTGGTGCAGGGCGAGGTGTCGCTGGGCGACCGCCTGGTGGGCGTGCGCAGCCACGCCGTGTACCGCATGCGCGTGCGCGTGCGCGGGGGGCGCGAGTGGCAGGTGGAGCGGCGGTTCCGCGAGCTGGTGGAGCTGCAGCAGCACATGCGCGCGCTGCTCGACGGCGACGCCATGCTCGCGTTGCCCTACTCGCCCCTCGCGCACTCCCACGCCCTCTCGCCCCCCATCCCGCGCGCACCCCACCCTCACTCCCCAGCGCCGCCGTCCCCTGTGGCCGTGGCGTGGCATGCGGTGCGCGAGGAGGCGGGTCGCTTCCTGGGCGGCGCCAGTGCGTCCGCCGTCCTCCGCCGCTCTCACCTCCTGCAGTCCGCGCTCTCTGCCCTCCTCGCGGCAGGCCCCCCCCTCTCCACTGCGCCGCCCCTCCTCTCCTTCCTCGCGCACCCCATCATGCAGCACACCCCCTGGGCCGCCCTCGCGTCCGCCCCGTCCCCCGATGCTCCCCCAGGCGCATGGGCGCCTCCCCCTCTGCTGGGAGGGGGGCGGGCGGGCACATGGTTGGGCGGAGGGCTGTCCGCGTGGCTGCCCCCCGCACTGCCAGGTGTGCCTTCCACCCCGCCCACACGGAGGCAGGGCAATGGGGACGCGATGCCACTGATGCGCCTGGGAGGGGGGGAGATGGAGGAGGAGAGTGGGGACGGGGGGCGCAGGGATGGGGCGGAGGGCGAGGGGGGAAGCGAGGGCGCGGATTTGGCAGCAGTGGCGGGGCTGACGGGGGACAGAGGGGGGGAGATGGTGAGGCGGGGGGGAGGCGGGGGGCTGATGGTGCGGCTGAGTGTGGAGGTGGTGAAAGATGACGACGCCAGTGTGCAGCGCCAGATGCTGCTGCAGCGCCACTGCTGTGCTGCCTGCAGGAGGTGAGGACGCGGCACATGTTTTGTTTTTTCCAGGATCGAGGGAGATCGAAGCCCGTACACCAATTCTCCCACATCGATCGGCACACCGATGTGCACACACTGCAAATCTGCAGTGTGATTGACACGCCGAGCCATGGGTGCCAGGATCAAAAGTGCATGGTCGGGCAGGTAGGACTCGCAGAGAAATACTCCAACAACTTCCTCGTTAACCATTCATAGCAAAGCACAGCTGGTCGCTATCCAATCATTTTTTTGCCTGTGACAGTAGACGACCACGACCGATTGCGGCTGTCACCTGTGGCGCGATGTTGTCTTCCGCCAACCCAAACGCACGATCGATGTGTGCACCATGGCACATCGATTGTGCGAGCTGCAGGTGCCACCATTTTGGGTACTCGTTTACTGTACATTTTCGAAGTTCTGCAAAAAACGGATACCAGGCATTGGCGAATCCGCCAATACACTGTACAAGCGGCATATCGATCCCCTCCCACGATCGATCCTGGCATTTTGAAAACAGGTGCCGCGTCCTGAGGCACCAGGGATCGCTGCTTCATGCGGGGCTCACTGCATGCACCATGCATGCACTGCACCTCTCGCCCTCCTTACACCTGCCATCTCCCCTCACCATCCCGTTCCACGTCGTTCCACACGCCTGTGCATTGCACCAACGATCATTCGCCTCTCACTCGCCTTCCTTCCCCACTCCCTGCCTCCCTGCGCCCTCCTCCACCCCTTACCCGGCACGTGTCTCGACCAGGCCACTCCTCCCTGACACGCATGCTGCGCGCTCCTCTGCGTCCGCCCTGCTCTTTTTCCAGCCGCTGCCAGCGCTGGCCCCCCCAGTGGCGGCGCCGCGGCTGTGCCACTACACGGGGCGCATCTTCTGCGGTGCCTGCCAGGGCAGCGACCGCTGTGCGCTGCCGGGCCTTGTGCTGCGCGCCTGGTGCTTCGACGAGCGCCCCGTGTGCCAGCTCGCCAAGGCGTACCTCGACTCCACTCACGACCAGGTGGGGGATAAGGGCCTTATACCGCAGGAGGGGGTGGAGTGAGATGGCTGGAGAGGAGAGCTGTAGGGCGTGAGAGCTAAGGCGTTTGGGATGGGTGCGAGAATCGCGGTGCATGGCATGGGGCTCATGTTGCTCATGGAGGCAAACTGCCATGTGGATGACACAAGGGGCAGGGGGAAACATTCTCTCTACTCATACTTGTGCCTGCCTCGTGCTTGCTGCAGTCCTGAACAGGCACAGCGAATCCCATCCTAGCATACCCACCCACTGCACTCAATCGGACCCCCCCCTGTCCCCCTCAATCTCCCTCCCCTGCAGCCGTTGCTATGCCTGAGTGCAGTGAACCCGCTGCTGCCACGGCGCGTGCCGCTACTGGCGCACATCCAGCGCCTGAGGGCGCACCTGGCCGTGCTGCATGCTGCCATGGGCGCCGCGTGCCCGCTGCGCCGCCACCTGCTGTCGCGCCTGGGGCGCAGGGCGTACCTGGTGCAGCGTGAGACAGAGGGCTTCTTTGCCATGCGCGACCTCGTGGACGCCTCCAAAGGCAGATTCGCTGGTGAGGCACGCATGGGAAAGCGGGCAGGACACTAGTGCTGTGATGTCTGCGTGACTGATGCGCATTCCTTTTCTGATCTATCCAGTCAGTGCATGCCACGCTGCTGCTAGTCGTTGCACTGTCACCCATCTATCTGCCTGTGCTCATTCCCCGTGCCAACCTCCTTTTCAACCCCCTTCCCCCGCTCCCTTTCCCCTCTTTGTGTGGCAGTGCTGCCGGACATGCTGGCGCGCCTCGCATCATCTCTGCGGCGCCACATGGCATCGGGGTGCATAGAGTGCGCTGCAGCCGCCACCACGCACTGCACCGCGCAAACCACCTGCTGCAGTCCCTTCGGGCCCCTCATCTTCCCCTACGAGGTCCGTCCTCTCACCCTCAACCCGAAACCAGCCCCCCTGCTTCATCTCACCTCGTTCTTGAACTGGCCCCAATCCTCCCACTCGCCCTCTTGGCTACAAGATAGCCTCTCTCCCCTGTTTCACACCCCCTGCCCACCAGGTGCCATCCACGTCCCGCTGCCAGCACTGCTCTGCCGCCTACCACTCCTGCTGCCTGCGCCGCACGCGCCTCTGCCTGCTCTGTGCCAAGCCCATCCAGCCCTCTGAGACACCACGCACCGCTGCCTCCGCTCCCCTGGTTGCGCCCTCACCGCCCACTGCTAGCACTGTGGTGGGATCAGGTGCAGTGGGCAGCAGCAGCCACGAGCACGAGGAAGCAAGTGGCAAGGAGAAACGGGAAGGAGAGACGAATGGGCAGGGTGGAGCTGGGGGGTTGAGAAAGTGGGGGTTAGGGCAGTGGGCCAGCAGAAACAACACAGTCGTGCAGATGGAAAGCCTTGAGTTGTGACCCATGTGGTGCGTCTTTTGGTGTTAATATAGGTTATCACCTACGGTTTATTATCTTATATCCGTATAAATATCACCAGTCGAGTCGAGTGCTTGCCGACCATGTGCACAATGATTGTAAAAAAGTGCTTGTTATAAAGGGTGCATTGGTCTACACGTAACATTATAATGGTGGAAAGTGAAGAGTTGTTGTCGGAATGGTGTTACGGGGGATGTATGAGGGCGACTGCTTCGTGGTTGTTGGATAGAGCAGCGAAGCAGGTAACAAACGCCTCTTCGCCCACCGCTTGCTTGTTCGCCACGCCTGCGCGCATCCTTGCGAGCAACGAGGCCGCCCTTGATTGCGTCATCAGCATCCCCAAAGAAGCTCGTGGTGTGACCCCTCCGATTGCTTCAAGGGGTCAGCTGGGCTGCTAGGAGCTCTTGTTCTGGAACAATCTGCTCTTCCAGTCCCACGCCTGCCGCTGCTCCCTCACCGTGCACCTACACAACTCGAGGCGTTTCTTTAACTTCAGATCTTCAATCGCCTCGCAGCACCGCCTCGCAGCACCGCCTCGCGTTCGCCGTCTCGCCGTCCCTCGCACACACCATGGCTCGCAGCAGACGCCCCGGTAAGCCATCGCTCGGCAGCTTGTCTGTCTACAGTTGGCGATTAGGGTTGTTGAGTCGAGTTCGTCGCATCAGTCGCTTCGATTGCTTGAGCAATCGCTCGGCAGCCGTCGCATACGGCATCCACGGCTCTTAGCACCGCGGCGGGTCATGAGGCCGTTACGTCGTGCAGCAGCCTCCTACTAGATTCGTCTCGTCATGCTCCACGGCGCCTGCTTCTTGGATCTGGCCCACCGGTTTCACCATCGCTTCTCCTGCCGTTTGCTGTTATTCGTTCTCTCGTCTTTCTGTTTCCTTTGAGCGTGTGAACGCATCATTCCATGGCACGTATCAAGGATTGCCTTCTTTCCTTTTTAACCCTGGATTCCGCCATGCAGCATCGCGCCCCGCCCCTCGCGCCATGCCGGCAGCAGCGCCCCGCGCTCCTCCCCCCGCCCCTGTCGGTAAGTCCGTGCGTTGCGACACTTTCCTCTGCGCCATCTGCATGAGCCGCGCAATTGCGACATGAGCAACAATCCGCGTGCAGCCTTTCTGTCCTTACGCCGCATCTATCGCTCTCCATGCTTGTCTGATTCTGTGCCTTCCATCTCGTACGCGCACCTTATGCCCTCTCTCTCGCTCTCTGTCCGTTTTTCGCTTTCTCTGTTTCTCCAGCGGCGCCGGCTCCAGCGCCCATGCAGCAGAGCGGCGGCGGAGGAGGCATGCTTGGCGGCATGATGGGGATGGTCGGACAAGGTACGGCGTCTTAGACCACCCGCGTTCCACGCGTGCGCGAACCTGCCCCGTTTCAACCAACTGCGCACTGTATGCGCACGAGTAGCGGTGCTGCTATCTATCTTCGTTCTTCCGGTCTGCTTTTTCTCGAGGTCCCACCGCCGTGACGTCTGTCCTCGCGCCCACCACCGCTATCACCACCAGTATCACCGCTTCTCCTTCTCGTCCTTCTCACAACTTGTGTTAACTGCTGCTTCCCTCCCCCCCTTCCCTCTCCCACTCCACACCCCCCCTTCCCCTCTCCCCCGATTGTCATGCTCCCTTACTCTCCCTACACGCGTCGTGTTGCGCGCCACAGGGCTGGCGTTCGGCACGGGCAGCGCCATAGCGCACCGCGCAGTTGACGCCGTGGTGGGCCCACGCACCGTCACCCACGAGCACGTCGGCGCTGCTGACGCTGCCCCCGCCCCCGCTGCCGCCGCCGCCCCTGCCGTCGCATCTGCATCCATTGACGCGTGCACGTACCACTCAAAGGCTTTCGCTGACGTGAGTCAAACGCGACTAGCATGCAGCGCACGGACCCATGGCACCAACTTATCCACCACTCACTACCCTCTGCCGGGCTCTTGCTCTTGTTGTTACATGCACAGAATACTCGCGGCTGTTGGTGCTGCATGAATCAATCAGCCTGTTGTTCTCCCCTAACTCATCCTGCGTTGCCTGCTGGTCCCACCCACGAGTGCAGTGTGTGCAGGCAAATGGCACGGACATTGCCAAGTGCCAGTTCTACATTGACATGCTCAACGACTGCAAGAAGCAGCACGGTTAGTGCCTCACTGCCACTCCATGCTCCCCAATGCTCTTATGGAACTTCATGTACAGCCGAGCTTCGAAGTCTATGTGTTGGTGGAACATTCTCAAGCCTGCTGCCTCTCTGTCTGTGCCCATTTGCAGGTTTGTCTGCGTGAGATTGGTACCGTATCTGCCAGCTATATGTGTATGGTAGTGTTAGGGTTTGCTTGACACAATTTTGTAAGTTGATGTACCGTACCGGATGTGGTACCCCACATTTTTTGGCTTCAGACGTGATCGATAACAGCAGTGGCATACTTCAACACCTATGTAGCAAGTGTTACTTTCGAAGCCTACATAGTATGGTGGGAAAAGTCTGATAATACTACATACTGTAAGCCACCTGCATATCCTGAGCTTCTCCAATATTATAGTGCAACACCTACTTACGGTACTGGCTAATCAAAGATCAACTAATAAGCCTTCACCCACTGTGCCTGGTCCATGGGCGCCACGCAAGGGTAGATGCCATGCGGTTAATTCTAGGCAGCACCAAGCCCCGCCCCGCCTTCCCTGCTGTCGGCCCCTCCTCACCTGCCACTCCCTGCCCGGCAGCGTACCCATGGCAAAGGGGTGACGAGTCACCGGATGAAGAGGACGAAGTGCCATGCTCGCTCCACCTCGCCTCGTTCTCCGATGTGTCGTGCGACGTGCACAGCGCCTCTAGTTCTGGCACCTCTAGAATGAGAGGCAGCTCGGGCCGCCACACGCCCTCGCTGTCTGCACTGCTGCTGCTGCTGCTCTGCTCCTCTGCCTTGCCTCCATAACCAGCATCCTCTGCCATGGGCAGGTTCACAGCTGCTGGCACAGGGGCAGTGCAGGCGGGCTGGGAGGAGCCCTGGTGGTAGAAGCGCAGCTGGCGGAAGAGAAACGCCATCTCCATGTCCTCCTCGCCCTCTCCCTCACTCTCCCCCTCATCCGCTGCCTCACTGTCCCCACTGCCCTCAGCCCCAGCTAACCGACCCTTCTCCACCTTACTCGCCTTGTCCCTGGGTGCCTCCTGCCCCTTGCGCCGCTGCCTGTACTCCGCCTCATACGCGGCCCACAGCTTTGCCTCCTCCACATCCTCGCCCCCCACCGCGCCTGCGCGTCGCCCCTGCTCCTGGCCTGCACTGGCCCATGCGAGGGGCTGCCAGCCGAAGTCAGGCAGCAGCGCTTGGAACGACTCTGCACCTAGGCACCCCAGCCCATCCTCTGGCCGCCACACCTCCTCGCTGCCGCTGCTTCCGCCGCTGCTGCTGCGCCTGGCACTGCTGCTATGGCCTGTGCTCTCCACCTCCTGCTGCTGCAGCTGGTGCTGCTGTGGCGGGTGCTGGTCGTGAGGGCTGTGCTGCGGGTCCTGCTGCTTCACCTGAATGTCTCTCTGTTGCTGCTGCACACATTGCACTGCCCATTGCTGCTGCTGAGCAGGGGGGCCATGCTGGTCCGTGCCACGCTGCTCCGAGTGCTGCATGACTCGCCTCTGCCCACAGGAGGCAGCATGCATGCGGCACTCAGCGGAGGCAGCAACAGCGGCCACAGTCACGAGCATCTCCGTGCCATGTTTGGCCGCCTCCCTCATCAGCCACTCCCCGGCATCCATGCGCCTGCCGCCCACCTGCACGTACCCGCCACTGCCCACTGTGCCTCCATGCTCCACATGCATCTCCACGCCCTCACTACTGCCTGCTGCCCCGCACCCTTTCGCTGTCCCACTGGGCTTAGCTACCCCTCCCCAATCTCCAGTGCCTTCCTTCTCTTTCCGCCCACGCTCCCGCTCACCAGCACTGCGGACCAGCGCCGTGCGTTCCTTGGTGCCATGGGTACTCTCACCCCCTTCACCCCTTCCGCCCTCCTCGCTCCCCCCCTTCGCCCTCGCCCTTGCCTTCACCACGCCACCCTGCACCCCCCGGCTGTCCCATGCCAGAGCATCAGACACGCGCGACAGGCGGGCGGCAGCGCACTTGGCAGCAGCAGCGGCAGCTGCGGCCACCGCCGCCGCCTTCATTGCTGCCGCCGCCGCACTCGCCGCAGCTGCCCCCACGCGCCTGCCGCTGCCGCCACTGCTGCCGGTGGCCATGGGAGGAGCGGGAGGTTTTCCTTGAGTGGTGCAGAGAGCGGCAGACACGGGAGGGTGGGAGTGGGAGTGGGAGTGGCAGGCCTCAGGTAGAGCGAGGCCGTGATGCGTGGGAGGTGCCTTGGGTGCATGGCACCGCACTCCCTCCTCGCTCTCCACCGCACTGTCCGTTGCATCCTCCGCCACAGTGTTAGCCGCCGGATCGGGTGTCCGCGAGTCCACTTGATCGCACGCCTGTTGCAGCTCGCCTGCCTGCTCATCGCTCCCCTTGCCACCCATCTGACGCCTCTCCGCGCGCGATTCCAGTCCAAGGGCGCATGGAGGGCATGATGACGCACGTGCTGGTGCCATGCTGCCACCACCGCCCGGGTTAACGTCCGGCTGCCTCGCGACGCACTGCCAGCCCTCTCCCTCACCATGCGCCGCCGCGTGTTCATCCCTCCTCTCCCCCTCCTCGCTCCCCTCTTCCTCCGCTTCTCCTTCAGCGCATACGTCCCCTGCCACAGCATCGCCCTCCTCATCACTTTCCTCCACGTCATCACTCCCATACACATCACCACCCTCCTCCACAGCACCACTCCCCTCCACGTCACCGCCGTCCACCACGTCATCACTCTCCTCCACGTCACCACCTTCCTCCCCATCACCACTTCCCTCCACGTCACCACTCCCTTCCACGTCACCACTTTCCTCCACGTCACCACTTTCCTCCACGTCACCACTTTCCTCCTCGTCACCACTTTCCTCCTCGTCACCACTTTCCCCCACGTCACCGCTTTCCTCCACGTCACCATTTTCCTCCACGTCACCATTTTCCTCCACGTCACCACTTTCCTCCACGTCACCACTTTCCTCCACGTCACCACTTTCCTCCACGTCACCACTTTCCTCCACGTCATCACTCTCCTCCACGTCATCACTCTCCTCCACGTCATCACTCTCCTCCACGTCATCAGCCTCCTCCACGTCATCAGCCTCCTCCACGTCATCAGTCTCCTCCATGTCGCCACCCCCCTCCACGTCACCACTCTCCTCCAAGTCACCACCTTCCTCGACGTCACCACTCCTCTCCACGTCGCCAATCTCCTCAACACCATCACTCTTCTCCACGTCACTACCTTTACCACCTTCCTCCAAGTCATCACTCCCCTCCACGTCATCACTCTTCTCCACGTCGTCTCCTTCCTCCGCGTCGCCACCTTCCTCCACGTCACCACTCACCTCAACGTGATCGCTCTTCTCCACGTGACCACTCCCCTCCACGTCACCACCTTCCTCCACGTCACCACTTACTTCCACGTCACCACTCACTTCCGCGTCGCTGCTCACTTCCACGTCACCACTCCCCTCCACATCACTGCCCTCCACGTCATCATTCCCCTCCATGTCACCACTGCCCTCCACGTCACCACTAACCTCCACGTCATCAATGCCCTCCACGTCACCACTGCCCTCCACGTCACCACTAACCTCCACGTCACCACTGCCCTCCACATCACCACTGCCCTCCACATCACCACTGCCCTCCACATCACCACTGCCCTCCACGTCACCACTGCCCTCCACGTCACCACTGCCCTGCACTTCACCATTGCCCTCCACGTCACCACTGCCCTGCACTTCACCATTGCCCTCCACGTCCACACTGCCCTCCACCTCACCACTGCCCTCCACCTCACCATTGCCCTCCACCTCACCACTGCCCTCCACGTCACCACTAACCTCCACGTCACCACTAACCTCCACGTCACCACTAGCCTCCACGTCACCACTAACCTCCACATCAACACTGCCCTCCACGTCACCACTGCCCTCCACGTCACCACTGCCCTCCACGTCACCACTGCCCTCCACGTCACCACTGCCCTCCACGTCACCACTGCCCTCCACGTCACCATCGCCCTCCACGTCACCACTGCCCTGCACTTCACTATTGCCCTCCACGTCCACACTGCCCTCCACCTCACCACTGCCCTCCACCTCACCATTGCCCTCCACCTCACCACTGCCCTCCACGTCACCACTAACCTCCACGTCACCACTAACCTCCACATCAACACTGCCCTCCACGCCACCACTGCCCTCCACGCCACCACTGCCCTCCACGTCACCACTGCCCTCCACGTCACCACTGCACTCCACGTCACCACTGCCCTCCACGTCACCACTGCCCTCCACGTCACCGTTGCCCTCCACGTCACCACTGCCCTCCATGTCCCCGCTGCCCTCCATGTCCCCACTGCCCTCCACGTCCCCACTGCCCTCCACGTCCCCACTGCCCTCCATGTCCCCACTGCCCTCCACGTCACCACTACCCTCCACTTCCCCACTGCCCTCCACTTCCCCACTGCCCTCCACGTCACCACGGCCCTCCACGTCACCATTGCCCTCCACGTCCTTACTGCCCTCCATGTCCCCACTGCCCTCCACGTCACCACTGCCCTCCACGTCACCACTGCCCTGCTCTTCACCATTGCCCTCCACGTCACCACTGCCCTCCACGTCACCACTGCCCTCCACGTCACCACTGCCCTCCACGTCACCACTGCCCTCCACGTCACCACTGCCCTCCACCACCACTACAAGCACACCGAGTGTCTCCGGGTCATTCCAATCCGCACTGTTCGCACCGTTTGCGCCATCCGTATCATCTCCTCCATTCGAGCTTCCCGCGCCCTCAATCACAGCATTCATTCCGCATCCTCTCACCTCCCCATCCTCCCGTGTCTCGTCGTCCGCTGCCCCACTCCCCAAGTCCCCACCAATCTCTTTCCCGCTCTTCACCATTTCCTCCAACCCACTCCTCTCATCCCGTTCCTTCCCACCGTCCAGCCGACTCGGGCAGGCACTCACCAGGGCCTGCCCGCGCGCCATCATCTCTTCCCCGCTCGCTTCCGCATTTTCGCGCGCCGTACGGAGCGTCGCCGTCTGTACGTCTCCGTCGGGGCCAAGGCTGAGCGAGAAAGCATCCGCGTCGCTGTCCCACTCCTCCGCACCGTCCCGCGTATCCTCCGCCATGCCGCCCGCCTCATCGCGTGCATCCTCTGCTACGATCACCTTCCCCCCCTCGTCCCCGCAGCTCCTCTTGATGCCCGCCCCTTCCCAATTGCCTCCTCCTCCGGCCAGTGCGCGCACTTGCCCCCAAACCATCCCTTTGGCGGCCTCGCCGTGCTGCACACGCGCGCCGTCGCGCCCGTCAACCTCCCCTCCTGGCGCATCACCGGACGATGCTTCCTCCTCTGCCACGCTGCCGTCTGTCGCTACCGCTCCCAGCAGGCCTCCTCGCTTGACGTATGCCGCTCGTGGCGCCGCACCGTCCGCGTGCACACCACAGCGAGTGCCCGAATCCGCGATGTTCCTCCGCCATGCAGCCTCCGCCTCCACGTCACCATCAACCTCCTCATCGCCTCGCTCCTCGTTGCCTTGCTCCTCGTCGCTCTCGCCGTCGCCTCGTACTATTGCTTGCGACTCCCCGCGTTCCATCCACATCATCAGCTCTTCCACCGTTGGCCCCTTTCTTTCGCCCCTGCCGTCGTCTTGTTCACTCTCTGCTCTTGCCCCTCCAAGCGCTGCGCCATGCGCTCGCGCGTCCGCGCCTGTGGCGCTACTTCCGACGCGAGGTGCGTCCCATTGCCCCGCTTCCAACATTCTCCGCGCCGCAGCTACTAGGCGTGCCGCCATCTCATTGGTCAGCTCCGCTGCGCGCCGAGCACGTCCGTCGGGCGGGGAGGGCTGTCCGGAGTCGAGAAGGCCCTCGACATCCAGGGGCGCGCCAGGGGAGAGGTACGGGAGAAGGTGGCAGCGAGGGGAGAGATGATGTGCGGATGGCGGTTGACATAGCGGATGCGGAGGCTGGTGGCGGCAGGCGGAGCTTCCTGACATGACCGCGTCACGCGCGGCGGCTAGCAATGCTGCATGAAGCTGGTCCGAGAAGGGCGGCAAGCCGCCCTGCGAGGAACAATAGGGCAAGGGGCAGATAGGGTGCGATGGGCGAACATGGTCAGAGGGGAACCGAGGGGGTGTAGGGTGTGTCAGTATTTGTAGTTGATTGATAGACGAAATGAACATGGGGAGAAAAGCGGGCGATATACAATAGAAGCATAAAGAAAAAAAAAAAAACTATTTCTATAAAAAAAACGACGCGAATAACCGCATGTCGCGGTGCGCCATGCTAACCTCGTCCGGCGTCTCCAATTCGGCCCCTGCAGCATGCTCCACGGCCGTCGCAGCCGCCACCAGCTCCGCCATGCTGCGCCCGTCGTACCGCAAGCTGTGCCTGCCCCCGCGCGGCCCGCGCTCCACCACCACCAGGTACGTGCGCCCCAGCTGCAGGTGCCGCGATAGCGGAAGGTCGCGCCATCTGCCGCGCAGCAGGCCGCGGTCGGCGGAGCGCAAGGAGATGTGGCAGGAGGGGTGGAGGGCGGAGCAAGCGAGCGAGGAGGAGATGGAAAAGGGCAGCGCGCGGCGAAGGGCCTCGTCGACCGTGATGGCATACGTGAGGTGCAGGTCGAGCGGGCGACCATCAGGGAGCACCAGACGAGTTGGCGAACAGTCCATTCACACACGCTCGAGCGACGCCTCTCACGCGGGAATCTGTAGCGACGGTAATTCCTCTACAAAGATAAAGAATTCAGGGCTGGATTAACGTAATATGAACGATTTTTCAGAGCGCTGCGTGATGGGTGGTGACACGAGCGCGGATGAACTTGACTCTTCAGCATGTTCTGTTCACTGAATGCATGGAGCTGGACGCCCCGCGTTGCTGGATCTACACTACACTGATTCGTCTCTACGCCATTCTTTCTTACGACAAAGTGGGAGGGGGTGCACATGACGGCAGATCACAAATCTTGCCTGCTACTCTTCCCTCATGCTTTTGCCAAGTGTCGGTCACTATTGGGCTTGACCAAACCCTGGCAAAGCGAGGATCACAGAGTGGTGGGCAAAGATGTTAGATTGCACCGCTGTGCTTGCTTGCATTCACCCTTCCGCTGGCAAGAACAAGAATGATGAGTGTTGCTGAAGAGCTGGACATCTCGAGCCGCTGTGTGCGTATTGTGAAGTGACGCCTCGGCGAGTTACCCCGCAGGCCACGGTGCGGAGGAGACCAGCATGTCCGTCTCGCAAACACGACTGCGGAAATTCAGTAACCCGTTTCGTCTAAATTTCTCGGTCGCCTGCTGAACCAAGTTGAGCACACGCTTTGGCCAACTTCGTCAAGCCCGACCACAATGCTTCAGTTGGATACCCTTGAAATGAAGGAGAATGTGCTTGTGGCGGAAACCTCGCCATAACGAACGGAGCTCGCTGCTGTACAGTACACCAGCAATTGAAGGCGGCGCGGTTCAGCGTCTGTGTTATGAATGAACTTGCAGAGTGCGCAGAATATCGAATAACGAGAATGATCGAGTACTGAATTACTGAATCCCTGACTGACGATACAATGGAAGTGACGAGGCCTAAATAGGGGAAGTCCTAGCTAGGCGGAGAGGTTGGGCGAGGATGGCTCGGTGATGGTTGCGATTGGTGCGGAGGCGACTCGGGAGTGGTTCAGTGCGACGAAATAGGAAGGACAGGTTCGTCGCGTGACCCTCGGGATGGCCTCGCTAACGAGTGCCTCAGTAAGGATTCTGTAAATCCTTACTGTAAGGAATTTTCCCGAATTCCTTATCGGGGTTGACTGCTTCGCGTACAACCCGATTTTTGGAGTTCGCACGTTCGGCCGATTTCAACGCTGCCGAGGCTCCTCACGTCGCCTTCGGCTTTCCCATCGCCAAACCTGCACCCAACCTCGCTCGTCCGAGGTTTCCTCCTAGCTAGAGTAGTCCTACATTAGTCTGTGCATTCATTGTATTCGCAGTTGATTCAGTCACAGCTTCGTTATTCGTTTACCTGCGCACTCTCTTTTACAACTCATAACACCTGGTATCAGAGCTACTTTCCTAGTTCACCCCGCTTTTCCGAGGGTAGTTTGGTGGCATAGGGTGTGGCTGGTTTAGTGACTACACGACGGTTGGCTGCAGGGATTGTTAATTCAATCCTGCCCGACTCCGATAGTTCGTGTTTTCATTTGCCTGAAGGCCACGGAGACCCGATTGCCCACCAGACGTAGCGTTAGGCATATGGATCAGGAAGCGGTCAACAGGATGATGGCGCAAGTGGCAGAAATGCAGGAAAGAATGAAGACGTTAATGGCGGAAGTGACGACACTGCGAGAGGAAAACGCCGAACTACGCGATACGCGAGGTGAAGCGCGTCAGGAGTCACCTGTGGACGAAGGCGAGGGCAACAGCCACGCGATGAGCAATCCATTGGATGCGCTCACACGTGACTTCGAAGAGGAAGATAGGCAGCGAGCGGCAGCAGCTCCAGTTGCAGTGACAACGATCAAGATCAAGCCCGTCAATCCACCCCCGTTTAATCCTACGGACAAGACGGTTACGGTAAAAGGGTGGTTGTTCGAGGTCGAAGTCTTTTTTACTGCAGCCGGAGTTAATGACGACGCCACGCGTATTAATTACGCAGTTTCGCTTCTTCGAGGTGCAGCACTTGAGTGGTGGCGCCGAACCTTGGAAACAGGGACGCCGACAGGTGTAACACATGTGGCAGACGGAACCTCTACAGTGACTAATCAAGTGGCAACGTCGATCTTCGGAGTGACCACGATACGCACGTGGAAGGAGTGGGGCGCAGCCTTACTAGGTCGCTTCGAGCACGTATCCGCCTCGGAGCAAGCTCACATGAAGCTGCGTGCATGGTCGCAGATGGCTTCTGTCCAAGACTACACGGCGTCATTTATGAGCCTCGCCGACCAAGTCGATGACATGTCGGAAGCTGAACGGCTGGATAAATACATCAGCGGCCTCAAATACGAGATACAGTACGAGGTTCGCAGGGGCCGTCCGACGTCATTTCTTGCAGCAGTACAGTTGGCGGAGTCCACAGATGCGCTGATGCAGTACGCGAGAGCAGCTTCCCGGGAGGGAAACCGTTTTCGTGGCCAGACCCATCGGACCACGATCAACGCCGTCCATACACCGGACCGCCCTCCTAAGGGACCGTGTTTCCGGTGTGGGAAGACGGGTCACTACATGAAAGATTGCCACGAGAAAACGCCACTGACGGGGAACGACAGGAAGGAGCAGGGAAATGGGAAGAGTCAGTAATTAGCGGGCCCTTTACTGACTGTGCTCCGTCGCCCGAACCCCACCATCCCCACCGAGTCGTGGTTCCGATTCATGCAATCGATCGCACTCGGCCGAATAACGGGGATAATCACGTGGATCACCCTGTGCTGGTCGCTGGTAAGGTGTTAAAAAATAACATGAAAATGTTCGTCGATGGAGGGGCCAGTCATAGCCTCTTCAATTTGGCGAGCGCAAAAAAATGCAAGCTGCAACTTGACAGGTGTCTGCCCGAAGTCGACGCTCGCCTCGTGGACGGGACGCCTCTGGCGATAACGGAAGAAGCACGGACGGTCAGGATCGAATGCGGCGACGGTTTCGGCTTCAGCATGAAGTTCCTCGCGACAACATTGGACGGCTGCGACGTACTGCTGGGACGCGATTGGCTGCGACGGCACAACCCCGTCATCGACTGGACAACGGGGACGTGCAGCATCAACAAGCACGAGGGGCTAATTAAGCTCCCTGCATGGACCCCTGACTACATCCAAGCCCCGTGTGTCAAAGCCATCACTATAGCTCGCCACTTCAACAGGGGCGCGCAGCTGTTCGCCGTTTGTTTACGCGAGTTGGCAGTCGACACCGAAGGAAAAGACATCGAGAAGCAGTGTGCAGCTGTACCACCGGATTTAGCGGAGCTGATTCGGAGGTACCCGAAAATCTTCCCCGACGATCTGCCACCTGGACTGCCACCGGAGAGACCTCAGGACCACAAAATCCAGCTAGAACCTGGAGCGCAACCAACCATTCGGACACAGTGGCGGTTGACCCAGCCGGAACTCGAGGAGCTGCGACGACAAATCGACGCACTGTTGGAGAAAGGGTTCATTCGGGCCAGCACATCTCCCTTCGCAGCACCGATTCTGTTCACTCCGAAGAAAGACGGCGGGCTTCGCATGTGTATCAGCTATCGCGCGCTGAACAGGGTCACCATCAAGTCTCGCTACCCAATCCCACGCACCGACGACCTCCTCGACCAACTTCGTGGCGCTCGCTATTTCTCGAAAATTGACTTACGTGGCGGTTACAATCAAATTCGAGTCTTCGCCGACGAGTGTCACAAGACTGCGTTTCGTACACGCTACGGGAGTTACGAATTCACAGTGATGCCTTTCGGCCTCACGAACGCGCCCTCAACTTTTCAGCTGACCATGAACAGGGTTTTTCGGGATCTTCTAGACCGGTGCGTTATCGTCTACTTAGACGATATCCTCATTTTTAGCAAGACAAGGGAGCAGCACCTCCGTGACCTGGACGCAGTGTTTAAGCGGCTGCAAGAGAACCGACTCATTGTCAGATGATTATATTACTGATGCATATATTTAGGCTGTAGTGGGGTAGCCCATAGGGGGTACAACCCAATTAGGGTTGGTACTTGTACTTGTTTCATTTCATAGTGCACTCATTCCTCGCCTCTATCTCAACATGGTATCGAGCAGGTTCCCTAGTGGGAACTGTTCCTAGGGCCCACCTACTATTCCGTCCTGCCCAGAGCGCGCTCTGCCCTAGCCCGAGTCGCGCTGGGCCTTTTTTTTTTCCTTTGGCGGCCCGATCGCGTCGAGCCGCCCGCGATTTTTTTTGGCGCGCCACCTACGCGGCCTCGTCGCGCCGCCCCTAGACGGCCGCGCCGCGTCGCGCGTGCCGCCCTCCAGCCGCGCGCCGCCCCCTCTGACCCTCGCGACGCCGGCGCCGTCTCTGACGGCCCCGCGATCGCCTGCGACGGCCCCGCCGTCCCCTCTACCGGCCCCTCCACTGCACTTGACGGCCCCGCCGTCCCCTCTGCCGGCCCCGCCGCTGCACTTGACGGCCCCGCCGTCCCCTCTGCCGGCCCCGCCGCTGCTTCAGACGTCCCCGCCGCTGCACCTGACGGCGGGGCCGTCCCCTCTGACGGCCCCGCCGCTGCTACTAACGGCCCCGCCGTCCCCTCTGACGGCCCCGCCATTGCACCTACCGGCCCCGCCACTACCCCTGACGGCCCCGCTGCTGCACCTGCAGGCCCCGCCGTCTCACCTGCCGGCCCCGCTGCTGTACCTGACGGCCCCGCCAATTCACCTACCGGCCCCGCCACTACCCCTAACGGCCCCGCAGCTGCATCTCCCGGCCTCGCCGCCCCAGCAACTGCGCCGCCCCAGCAGCTGAGCCGCCCCGGCAGCCGAGCCGCCCCAGCAACCGAGCCGCCCCAGCAGCCGAGCCGCCCCAGCAGCCGAGCCGCCCCAGCAGCCGAGCCGCCCGAGCCGCCCGAGCCGCCGAGCCGCCCGAGCCGCCCAGCAGCCGAGCCGCCGAGCCGCCCGAGCCGCCCGAGCCGCCCGAGCCGTCTCCACTGCCCTGTCTGGTGAGCACTGAGCTTTACTCTGCGCACTGCCCTCACCCTAC